TGGGATGAGATTTCAAGGGATGCAATTTGCAAAGTCAAAGGGAATGAGATTTCCAAATTGACTAAGGGATGAAGTTTACAAGTGAAGGGATGCAGTTTCTCAAATTGGTATCCCAAACAAATTGGAACCCCGAAATTGAAATAGGGATGCAATTTCATCAGAAGAATTGAAGTTCAAATTGCTTCAATTCAATTGGAGATATAGATTGCAAGGGATGAGATTGCAATTCCAAATCAAGTAAGGGATGAGAATTCAATTTGACAAATCTAGCAAGGGATAGAGATTTCATTTCCCAAAATAGAAATTCCAAATCAAGTAAGGGATGAGAATTCAATTTGACAAATCTAGCAAGGGATAGAGATTTCATTTCCCAAAATAGAAAGGGATGAAGTTTCACAAGGGAAGAGATTTCCAAGTCAATTGAAGAGATGAAGTCTGGAAGCAGTATACAGACCCAGATACACGAAAAACAGAGGAAGATATTAGAAGAAGTTGCAGGAGCAAAAATACTAGTCTAACTAGTAAGGGATTATATTGGAGAATATATTTTGAAGATAAAAATCCCAAGAGGCGTGATCTACACCAGATGGAGATTCATGGGACGCCATTTTTGCTGAAACCTCAAGCTCAATTTGAAATATCTGACAAGATCTGCAACGTTATCTTATCTTCTGACAAAAGGCTATACAGCTAAGCAAAATTTGAAAATGAGACCGTTTCTTTCCAACGGACGGATTCTCATTACCAGCTATAAATAGATGAAGATTGAAGCTGAGGAAAGCAGAAGCAAATAGCAAGAAGCAAAAAAAGAAAAATACAAAGAGCAAGAACAGAGCTAAACAGAGCATACAAAATTCAAAGAAAGCTTTCCATCTCAGGAGCTTAAATTGATATATCTTTTGTGAGATAAACACTCAGAGTGATACAGAGCTTAGAAAAGAAATATCCAAGAGTGTTAAAATCTTCATCAACTTCAAGAGACTCAGCGCACCATTGAAGATCATCTACAGAGTCTCAAAGTTGGAAGCAAGGCAAAACTTGTTTTGGAGCAAAACAAGGGAAAGGAGGAAAGTAACACGGAGTTGTGAAATCCTGGATTGTCACACGGAGCTGTGAGATCCGAAGCAGCAGTGTCGGAGGACATTGGGCGTGATTGGTGTGGGCTTGGTGATCAAAGCACCAGATCACGGAAGATACGTTTCTACCGGATCGTAGAAGACGGGGGGAAAGTAGCATGGAGTTGTGAAATCCTGGGAAAGTAACACGGCGACGTGAAACCCGAAGCAGCAGTGTTGGAGGCACTGGGCGTGATTAGTGTGGGCTTGGTGATCAAAGCACTAGATCACGGAATTCATTGTATCTTGGAACCAAGAAGTGGTGGATATAGTGAATTGGCTCTTGGAGAAAAGAGCAAGTGGAGTAGGAGGATTACATCACCTCGTGAACCACTATAAATTGCCTTGTGTTCTTTACTGCTTTCTTTACTTACCGCTCTTGCTTGCTTCTCACGTCAATAATCTTGACACGATCTACACACACACCGTATCGTTTATTTAATTCCGCTGTGCACCGGACTCTAACAATCTAGTTAAGAGTCTTGGTTTATCTCTGGCTTACCTTTTGTTAATAACATGATACAACCACTGGAGTAGCAGTACTGTTGTTGTTGTTGTTGTTATTATTATTATTATTATTATTATTATTATTATTATTATTATTATTATTATTATTGTTATTGTTATTATTATTGTTATTGTTATTGTTATTGTTATTGTTATTGTTGTTGTTGTTGTTGTTGTTGTTGTTATTATTATTATTATTATTACTAGCATTGTACCCGTGCGATGCACGATCTACAAATTATATTTTAATTTAAAGTACTATTGTAATAAACAAATTGATTGAATATATTATAATAAGCTATACATATGATATCACAATAAATTGATTGAATATATGATAATAAATTATATTTTAAAATCACTTTAAATATTAAAAATGTAACATTTAATAATTAAACTGTAATGGAGGTGTGTTCTTGTTCATGCGACTGTACTGTCAAACAAATTTGTGCATATTTTTTATTCTCCAATTGAATTTTGAGTAGAATGATTTACAATTTTTACTCAAATGGAGGCGTATTCTTGCATCTATTCTCCCAATTCTGAGCTTGGAGCTCTAGAAACCTCCATCTCACTTCATGCCGCTATCGAACATATTTGTACAAATTTCTTGGTCTCCGATTGTTTTTTGAGTAGAATGCTTAGCAATTTATACTCAAATGGAGGCGTGTTCTTAGGGGTTTTCTCCAACTTCCTGAGATCTGACCAACTCTATTTTTTGAAGGAACATAAGGAGGTAGCTGTTGTAGAAGGTTCGTGCACGGTTTTTTTTATCTTCTGTTCTACATATTTGAAATCTGAAATTAGATCGATCTAGAGTATCTCATCTACTCTCTAAATCATAGGATTCAACCTTAAAATTAATAGAAAATAACTTTTGGATGATTTGTGTGTATGATTGAAATCATATATGTTCTTGCATGTTATTCTAATACAGTGTAAAAGCTTTTTAAATAAAAATCCAAAAAAAAAAAAACACATATTTTTCTACAATCATATGTGTTGCAAATTTATATTACTATAGTATTTCAATAAGAGTACTAAAAAAATGCTCTACTAAAGACAACTATAGTATAGTATTCCTAAAAAAACTGAGGATTTAAGAAAGATTTAACTCAAAAAAGACTGCAGTACATATATCTGTCATGATGAATTGTTGCTTCCTGTCACTCTCTAATTTAAATTCTACCTCTCTCAAAGCAAGAGCTGAAAAGCTCTTCATTGGGCAACCTTCAAGTTCAAAGAATACAAAAATGATACCTGTTTCTTAGCATACACATCAGTGATTGTAGCAACAACCATCAAACCACTTGTGTACTCATCAAAGGTGTTCCTACAGGACAAACTTTATATTTTTCTAGAGGATGATCTGAAAATAAATATGGTGCTTAAATATTTCGATTTTACATTGAAACTTGATTTAATCTGTCATATTCAAAGTGTGCTATTATATTTGATCAAATCTGTCTTTAAAAAACTGGCTATAAAATTACCACACCTTCTATCATAAAGGTGTAAACAGGGACAAAAGCATATTATACTAACATATGAACTTGCTTAGCATCCTCAATCAAAAAATAAATAAGGTATACCTTCTTTGAATGGAGTTATGTATTTTTCAACTGGTCCTTATGTATATGAGCATGGATACAAATACCTAACATAAACTAACATTTATATTAATTTAATAAATATTAAGCATATTATTTTCAAGAAAACTACAATGAATGCATGCATTACTTACTATTGCTTTATTTTCTAGAAAACTATCTCATATTTATTCCTATTCAGGATGTGTTTTTTCCTCCTGCTAATTGTCAAGATTAAACCGAGTGTGCTGCATAATAATAAGGTGAGAGTTAAAATAAAGTATGAATATATTGAACACACACACATATATATACTTATATTCACATACTTGTTGTATATTAGTATATAACAATATACACATTTGAATAAGAATTGAAATTAGGTACGCATTTGAATCTTACCTCTATTTGCAGCAATGTGTTTTCTCTCGCAACACATTGCAATTTGCAACCAAGCTTCTTTGTTCATTGTAGCATCCTTCCTTCCCCGTCCAAATTATTTATAGAATTCACCTTGATATTTTCACAAACACTTGGCAGGACATACATTTTTTTAATTCAAGTACAGATAAGAACGTATCTTCCTTTCATTAAAGAAAACACATTCTTTAAGCTTTGGTTTTGTTTAAATATATCCTATTAATATACATGTATATCTCATCTACATGAGAGTGGTCATCCCTCCTGCGGTCTTCTCCCAGCACAGCTGCCATGCACCACATTTTTTCCCACCACCGCCATTAACATGCTACTAAGCCAGACTAATGCCAACTTCAGATCTGCCAAAAAAAAGAAGAAAAAAAAAACCACAAACATCCTAGTGAATATATAAAGCCTTCTCCAAAAATTCATCCCACTAGTACAGAATTGCAGATAGGCAACCATTGTAAAAGACAATAGGCAACCATTGTACAATGGTCGCCTATGAGAGGCTCGCGGAAAGTCATGGACTTTACGCGACCATTTTTAAATGGTTGCACATTGTCAGTAATACGCGACCATTCTTGACCCAGAATGGTCGCGTATTGTTTTTTTATTTTTTTTTATTCAAATGTAATACGCGACCATTCTTGGATAGGAATGGTCGCGTATTGTTTTTTTATTTTTTTAAATCAACTTTCCGCGACCATTCTTTGTAAAAGAACAGTCGCGGATACTTTTTTAAAAAATAAAAAAATATAATTTTAAAAATAATTTTATTTTGCACCATGCAATTCTCACACAACCATTAGTAATATTTATACTACTGAGTACTGTAATTGTAGTAAAAAAATGTATTCATAAGATAGTAATAGTTGCGTAAAGAAATCGACTTTCATAAGATAGTAATAACAGTCTGGTTACAAACATATTACAAATTAAAGCTAAGCTCAAAGCTTCAGCATTAGAAGAGTAATTGCGCGAACCAATCAGATTCTCAGCAGCAAGAAACTGTACATTACACTTTGTTGAATCCATTAAAAGCTTGCTGATGCCATAATAATGTAACAACTGGCACACAATAAAATTAGAGACAAATGCTTAACACCTGACTCATAATTTGATTTTATCAAAGATAAAAGGTGTAGATTTTTTTAGCTGTTTATTCAGAGCTCAACTAGTTCATATAAATTATGTATCTAGAAACCATAGCCCATGAAATTTTTCTTACATGTACTCATCTACCACATTTGTCAATTAACAAAGTCAAAAATAGAAAGTAATTAGGAACTAAGTCCACTCACCATCTCCTGCTTAATCCTCTTGAGGTCCTTGTCAGTCAGTAGTCTAGGTGTCAGTCAGTAGTCTAGCTGTGCATGTGTCTGATGCGAACCTGCAGGTAACACAAGACATTATAAGCTGTTTTTCATGTTAAAACCAATACATTTTGGAGATTAAGATTGGACATACTTGTCTATGAAGAAGTAAATCCCAAAGAACAACCAGCACAGTACAGTAAGTATCCAACAAAGAATAATCAACCTGCCAACAGATCATTAAAACGATTCAAGTTCACATTCGATATCAACTGTCTGCCTTTCAACGTTAACATGATGTGATCGTACACTTACCAGCGAAGCGTTCTTCTGAACTTGAGAATTCCTAGCACTAACAGACAGATGGCTGCAACCAAATTAACTGAAATGATAACAGTACTTATTATGTACACAATCCTTAAGCCCTTCTCTATTGCCCTCCTGTTTTTCCTCGCCTGCCTCTCGATATCAGCAGCCCGACTGTCGAGGCTCTTGGATGTGGAGGTCAGGAAACGCGTGGCCTCAGGACCTCAATCTGTGGCTCCTAAATCTGCACTCATTTCTTTCATTGCCTGAGTCATGTTGTATATGGTGTTTGATGCCCCATCTGTAGTGTCAATAATTATGTCAACAACTGTATCTGCTCTCGATTGGAACCTCGCGTTCCCTCCAAGGACTAGACCCGATGCAATCCTGAAATCGTTAAAAGGAAAAGTAGGATAATGCTAGCTGCTGGTAGATGTGGTAACCTTAGACATACATACATACATACATACATACATACATACATACATACATACATACATACATACATATATATATATATATATATATATATATATATATATATATACATGAAAAAACTAACCTATGATTGGAATTAGCTTGTGATTGCTTGTATTTCCTGTGGGGGTGTTCTATGTGGTGGTGATCCCTGTGGTTATAGTAAAGAGTAAATAAGCGAACATATAATTTTAAAGAAAAATTCCTTCTTATCATAGTTTTAAAAAAAAAAACAAAATTTTGATTAATGTCTAGAAAAGTGAAACAAGATTATATGCAGCCTAGCTGCCATGTTTTTAATATCTTATCAACGGTGAGGAGGTAGCCATAGCCATTGCAGATTTGCAGTTAATCAAAAGCATCTTCTATGTGAATATTATTAGCTAATTAATATAATCAAGACTGCAAAGTTTTAAGGTGGTTACCTAGTGCACAGTGAAATTCGTTCTTGCTGTCTTCTGTGCATTGCCCTCCTCCATTGTAACACTCTTGACAGGATTTTGAGACTTCCATGTACAATAAAAGATGAGCAGTTAAGCCATCATTTGTTTGTTGAATAATAAATGCAGATGGATACAGGGTACAGTTAACAACATCACATTTGGAATCGATTTAACTTAAAATCTAATAGTTTGAGTATCAATTTAAATTCAATTAAAAGTTATAGGATCAATTCGAGAAATGGGCATAATCAAATGACTATTTTGAGAATTTTCTCAAAAATTATAAAAGGAAATTTTCGTTATATATGTAAAGCGCCCACGACGTCGTATTACGGATACTGCGGGCAACTCCAGCCAAGTTGGTTAAGCTATTGACTAGGTAACCACAAGGTTACAATTCGACTCCCAACGGGAGCGGCCTATTGGCCTTTTTGGTTTGAGCCAGCAACCTAAGTTGGTTTACCTCCTTGTGGAAAAAATAATATCCCAGTTTCTTCACTAACAGTACGTATCCATATCCATGTTTAATAACTAACTAGTATAAAAAAAAAGTTGTACATCAGTTACTATAACTCCACCACCAGAAAGCATTTGTTGCTTAGTCACGGTTTAATAACTAACTAGTATAAAAAAAAATTGTACATCAGTTACTATAACTCCACCACCAGAAAGCATTTGTTGCTTAGTCAGACGTGACTGAAGAGGAAAATAAGCATTACCTATATAACATAGTATATGAGTATATCTTAGCTATGCCCCCAAAGGAGATCAGAGCAATCTTCAGTCAAAAAAAAAAAATTAAAAACTCCCAAAGACAAGCTTTAAAGAGCTCCAAGTCAAAATGCTACATTCCACCAAAATTCCATCATCTAGAGAATTTTAATATACCTGACAGAAGACTTTGCATCCCTGACTCGGATGGAGGTTGCATTAGTTTGTAAAAAGTCTCTGCAAAAATGAACATGGACTGGATTTTCGAAGATTCTTTGAAGACCTGGACACGGGTGTCCTATAAGATTGAATTGATGGGGGGTTAATGGACCAAACTATAATGAACCTATGATGGTAGAAATGTATGATCTCCATTGGTAATCATGACCATAATGTAGGTATCTAGATAATAGCTAATCATGATCATGATGTAAATGATAATTTTCTCATTAATCATGATAGAAATAGCATGAAAACTCTAGTGGTAAACAAGATCATGATATAGGTTTCTAGTCAATTAGTACCATGATATGTTAATGACATTGTTGTAGGATCAAGCTTTGTGGAATGGCATGTTTGCTAGTTGCCTAAATCAACTAAAAATGGACAATAAAAATGGTATGAAAGACATCAATACATCTAACAAAGGAAGCATTCATGACATCTTAGGTAAATATGGCAGTCAATTTGACTAAAATTTGGGATTGAAAATAAAATCTACATATCACAAAAGTAAATGAAAAATATTACCTGTTTGGATAATCAAAATTTTGAAATGTATCAAACAAACATATTAAAAATTTAGTTACAGGTTGACCCTTCAAAAAAATTTAAAATAAAATAAAAAGGGAAAGAATAGGTATATATACTAAGAGTGTGTGCCTTTCAAATTTACCCCCTTAAGTGTGATAGTTCTTGACCAAAAACCAAGTGCAAGAAGAGAGATCTGGATAGGAAAAAATGAAACTAAAAAGCGGCCCTGATTCTCAGTTTGAATTTTGCTTAATTAAAGAGTGGACATGATACCGAATATAACAAAGAGATCAAATTAACAGAGATAATTGCCAACAAAAGCCATAGGTAAGAAATATAGTGAATGTCTGAAAAAAAAAAGCACTTAAAACTCAAGTTCTAAGATGTCTCAAATGGAGAAAGGATATTGAATCCGCATGCCAACAGCACCAGAACTAGGTATAACAACACCCTGCAAGGTATGGTGCACATTGGTGGCACTCTGCACATCCTGCAAAATGATTTGACTTCAAATAACAACATAGATAACAGAAGCTGCATACAGATTAATAGAGCAAGCATATGAAAGAAACTTCATTTGTGTAGCCGTCATAAACTTACTTCAAACTCAATGAAACATACAATATGCCTTTCCTGTCTCAATACCTTCATCTGCTTATAACCAGGTTGCCTGTCAGACAATTTTTGGGTGAAACAAACAAATCCATTCAATAACAGGTGTGCACAAATTTGTACATAATGTAGATCAATTAGATGAAGATGCAAAATCCCTACGCAGTGAACAGGCCTCTCAACTCTTCCTCATTTATGTTCTCTCCAAGATTGCCGATGAAAAGGGTATTGCAAGGAGGATTATCTTTTGTATTCTACAAGAGTAAATCAATCATTATTAACAATTAAACACAGCTCCAGAAAAATGGCTCATTCGTCAACAACTTCCAGAAACAAAAACATAAAAACAGAGCCACTGCATGACACATTACCTGGACAGGCACATATCTGCTTGGTGCTGCAGGCATAGGAGCAGGAACAGGCATTGGCACAGGAGGAACATGGTAACCAGTATATGGATCATATGGTTGAGGTGGTGGAGTCATGTACCTGAGCCATATCACTAATCAGGTCCATATTACAAGTATGACAACAAGTCATCCATGTGACTTAAATTTAGTGCAGTTCAATTAAGTTGCAGGAGATAGTTCTGCAATTTTTTGTGAGAAAGGAGTACTCTTACGCAGGTGGCCCCCAAGCTGGTGCAGGAGGGGGGTGAAAAGGAGAGGGGCTAGAGTACCCAGTATGTGTACAATCACTGCCAGTCCGCATCCGTTTGCTCTGGTCATAAGCATTTGAATCAGCAACAATTCCTGCATGTAAATGATAATTAGCACAGGGCCAATACTATAAATCATTCAAGAAATTAAGAATTGAAAAAAAAAAACTGACACAATTAATGAATCCTAGTGTTAATCAAGTAATTGTCAGTACAATACACTGTAGATTTCGTGCCCTTTGCTTTTACTATACAATATGTGACACATTCCATTGAATTACAATTCTAATATTTTAGATTTTCCAGGGAAATGAATATGCATCTCTATATACTAATACAATTAATCTATCTGCAGTGAGAATCCTTCTCTCAACAGCATAACATAGTGTGCATAAAGCAAACCTATAGATTCTGAGATGTAATGTGAAATGAGAATCGTGTTAAAAATTTTCCAAAACATGAACCATTACAACAATTCACATATGAACAAAAGGAAAAAAAATCTAAAAATGTGGAAGAAGTACAATCAAACACAGTGCTTACAGGGAATGAGCATTCAGGCAGGTAGGCAGGCAGGGGAGGAGCAATGCCTATTCTGGAAACTTGATCATTTATGCGGTTTGCAGCAAACAAACAATGACAATGGCAATGCCCTCAACAATTGGCAAACTTGATGGAGGCCAGAACGGTGACCAGACGCCTCATCTCTCGAGTACTCCACCAAAAAAAAAAGAAAAAAAGATTCAAAGAATTGTCCTAAGATTCTAACTGGTAGACAGTATATCAACCCTCTTAAGTCTTAACTTCATTGGGATCTTCTTCTCAGGTGTTGAGAAGCCTGGTACCCTTCAAAGAAATCGAGGACGTCTGTCTCGAGGTCCTCGACTGAGTACTTAATATAGTTCTCGGGGTGTTTGCCACACTCAATATGAGTCCTAAATATAATATATATATATATATATATATATATATATATATATATATATATATATATATATATATATTAACAATTACAAATAAATAAATAAATAAGCTAACCTGCAGATCGGCGGCAGTGGCACGGCGCCAGCGGGGAGGGCGGCTGTGGCGGTGCGTCGTGGTGGGGGCGTGCGACGGTGGACGATGTTCAAGTGGCTGGCGGGTACATCGCTGTGGCTGTGGCGGTGGGTGGCCGTGGCTGTGGCGTGTGGCGATGCATCGCGGTGATTGTTGTGGCGGTGGGTGGCCGGCGGCGTCAGACGGCAGACGGCGTTGAAGATCGGAGATCGGCGTTGGAGACGACAGACGACGTTGACCCTTAATGGAGACGGCAGGCGGCGTATGAGATCTGATTGACGATCGGCGTTGGATGAGTAGAGGTATGAGATCTGATGGATCGGATGAGCAGACGGTATACGTTGAGAGGATGAGCAGATCAGGTCTCTGATGGAGTGATGGGTAGATCTACTGATCTAGGGTTAATATTAGGCAACCATTTCTATTTGAAATGGTTGCCTATTATAAAACAAGTTCTATTTTAACGCAACCATTTCTATTAGAAATGGTTGTCTATTATAAATCAATTTTTTTTTAAATAAATACAAAATACAATGGGCAACCATTATAATTAACAATGGTGGTGGATTATTGATCACTTATTTAGAAAATTGCCACCGTGAATTTTTGGGCTAAGATTAGACAACCATTCTTTCAACAATGGTGGCCTATGATCAATCTTCTATGTTCAATTTTGTACTAGTGTCCTCCGACCATCTTCACTGGTGTGTGATAATAGTTGGTGATGATGCTTCGTGTTCTACGGTCTTAGCAACATCGCCTCTTCTAGATCGCTAAAATTCATCCTTTGACCTCTAAGTTCTCTGCAATATGAGAACCCAATTTATATACAGATATGGCTATCTACTTTAATGCGTATAAATTAAACAATGCTTTGTAGTACTCAAAAGACACCTTGAAAATAACATGTGGTCATTACTCCTTACTGGTAATTGTTTTCTAGTAAAAGACTGATTCATAAATACACTGTGTATCTAAAAAAAAAATTCTTGTAGAGGATTTGTCTAGAATCTTCTTCTATTGGGCAGAAACTTTTTATCAAAAACAACTTTTGTAAGCCAAATATTTGAGCGGGAATTTTGGCTCTATTTTGCATCCCAAGGTGTGTGGCTTTTTTATATAGTAAGATTATTATTATTATTATTGGTGGTTTAGTTTATAGTGGAATAATGGATAGTGATACAAGTTGTTGGGGTACAGGGGTAGTGGATAGTTTCTATGATCTGTATATTTATAGCCACCTATGTACTTGAAGAGGGCACTGAAGAATATATTAATAGATGTTGGTGACATTTTGGGAGTTAGAGTATCACTCGAAGTATAGTCAATGAGAGTTGGGCTGTTACTCGAAGTACAATCATGTCTCTTTCTCTCCCTTTTCTGGAGTTTAGGTCTTGACTCGAAGAAGAGCAACTCATACAACCTCAGGGTTGTATCAATTGGTGCTCTCGTTGAGAGTATCAACCCAGAAAAATTATTTCTGGGACAAAAACAAAAAAAGGAAAATCAAATTTAGAAATAAACAAAAAAAAGGAAAATCAAATTTTGGTCAAAAATTCAGGGTTGTATCAACTTCGAAGCCTCCGGGTTCTACAAGGGCCAGCGGTTTAGCACCCAGAACCTGCCAACGTTCTACCAGGGCTACAAGAACACCACCGCCCTGAGCACGGCGTTCAGGAGCAATAACATCGTGTCCCTCGACGTTGGCGACCGGAGCAACTACGACGACGAGAAGAGTCGCGAGGTTTATGAAATCGACGTCAAGCTTTACTTGAGAATTAGATCAAGACTAAGAAGATTAAGCCACCATCGAATGCGATCTCAAGGTTCCTTTGCAATCCAACGGCAGATCGTCTGGGAGTTTCGAGCGGACTAGGTGCCATCTTGATTGGTAGATGTAGATGGTGATGGGCCCTACCGTACCCATTCTTGATTATGCATTTCCATTGCTACTTATTTTTCAGTCTCTGATCCGTATGAAGAAGGTTATGTTGGAGTACCTAGCGAAGCATTTTTTGCTACAACTTCGGTCGAGTCTTGCAAGGCCAACATGAACATAAAATGGAGGAATTGAAGCTAGGTGGCCATAGTTTACGTATATCACTTTAGGTACTGAAGTAGAGTTATTCAAGCTTTTGGAGTTACTTTTGATTAATTATCACCTTGAGGACAAGGTGATTTTGATGGGCATGGCAATGATACGACCATCCACACTGTGTACCATCAACTTGAGGACAAGGTGATTTTGATGGGCATGAAAATGATACAACCACTGGAGTAGTAGTACTGTTGTTATTGTTATTATTATTATTATTATTATTATTATTATTATTATTGTTATTATTATTGGTGGTTTAGTTTATAGTGGAATAATGGGTAGTTATACAAGTAGTGGGGTACAGGGGTAGTGGATAGTTTCTATGATCTGTATATATATAGCCACCTATGTACTTGAAGAGGGCACTAAAGAATATATTAATAGATGTCTGGTGACATTTTGGGAGTTAGACTATTACTCGAAGTATAGTCAATGGGAGTTGGGATGTCACTCGAAGTACAGTCGTGTCTCTTTCTCCCCCTTTTCTGGAGTTTAGCTCTTCACTCGAAGAAGAGCAACTCATACAACCTCAGGGTTGTATCATAACATGTCACTAAGAATTCGACTAGACTTAGGCAGCTCCGACGACACTCGGGCGACCGGCACCAATCACTGGTTGCCTTTGAAGAAAGCGACCCAAATGGTCACATTCTTCGTCAATCGAAAAAAGCGACTAGTCCGGTTGATTGGCGATTGACTTTTTGTGAATGACGATGATTTTGTTATCAACGACGACAGTCAATGACGGTCAATAACAACTTACACACTACATACTAGTAACATGTTGATTATTGGTAGATTAGATTTATTTGACCGATTTTAATAAGTTGGAGTGTTTAATTGTAACATTCAAAAGTATATAGACTAATTGTCTTTTTGTGTAAAGTTGAAAGACCTATTTGACTATTTTTTTTATCAAAATAATAATCAAGGGACCAAAAAGTGGTTTTTTTTTTTTTTTTTTAAACCATAACCAAAAAATGATTTAAACACTAAAAAATTAATGATTCTTGAGTAAATACCCAAAATGGTCCCTCGACTATAGCTAAATTCACAAATTGGTCCTCGACTTTTAATTTCAACCAATTAAGTCCTTAACTTTGCAATTTTAACACAATTTGGTCCTTTGTCTATTTGACCGTTTGTTGACTGCGCTTTTTTAGGATATATATGTAATTTCATGGTCCACCGTCGGTTTTTTAAGATTTCGGTTGCATTTCTAGACCGCACTGTTACACTTGAATCCACTGTCGGCGCTGCACCCCATGCCGGAGAGATTATAGCTTTTGATAGATAGATCGCCGAAGTCCTTGGAGTGGCTCTTCGAGAAAGCCGTGACTCCAAGCGATGTAGGCAAGCTGAACTGACTCGGGATCCCCAAGCAGCAAGCGGAGAAGCACTTCCCCCCTCCGAAACGGCGTTGTCACCTCCAAGAGCGTTCTCTAAGCTGAACCGGCTCGTGATCCCCAAGCAGCAAGCGGAGAAGCACTTCCCCCTCCGAAACAACGATGTCACCTCCAAGAGCGTTCTCTTGAGCTTTGCACGTAAAACTACATATATATCCTCAAAGATCGCGGTCAACAAACAGTCAAATAGATGGAGGACCAAATCGTGTCAAAATTGCAAAGTTAAGGACTTAATTGGTTGAAATTGAAAGTCGATGACCAATTTGTGAATTTAGCTATAGTCGAGAGACCATTTTGGGTATTTACTCATGATTCTTTATAAGGTAATATATATTTGATACTTTTTCAATTTTCATCAGCTCAACAAATCAATGCCCAATGCCCACCATCGAAATTCGATGATAATAAGGACGTATGAGCTGCTTGAGTCTCGTCGAAACTTTAGGTACATGTTATTACTGGTCATTAATTAAGCGTTTCAATGCACGAAAACAACACATTCATGAGTTTTATTGCAACTTTTTAAAATGCACGAAAATAACACATTCATGAGTTTTATTACAACTTTTTAAAATACAATGGTCATCACACTACATGGTAATTGTAAAAATTTAAAAAAAAAAACAAAAAAAAAAAAAAACTACGGAGTATTTATTAAAAGTGCAAGGATGCTTATTTGACCTCTGTCTAGAAATTAGAAACTTATTAGTCCATCCACAGCTTACCTACTCGTGTTGGTGCTCGGGGTAGGTAAGCATGAAACTGAACACCAAACTACATATACTATGCAAATCCCAATACGGATGGATGAAACCAGCGGTGCATTGCAGCGATTCCCTCCAGAAGAAGAGACACGGTAACGCAAATGGCGAACGCGGCTGAGATGACAAGAGTGAAGCTGGGAAGCCAAGGGCTAGAGGTATTGTAATCTGAAATCTTATGCTCCCGATATTAATTTTTTTTTTTTTTTAATTTACCTTTGAATTTTTCGTTTTCTTGTATCAGATTTTCCTATGATGGATTCAATTCCAATCCGCATTCGGTTAAGATTTTATTAACTCTCAGTGTAAATGTAATTAACATTCACCCGGGGTAACCACCGGCCGGAGCTTGTAGTGTAATTTGCATTTCTCCGTTGTCAACTTGTTATTTTGCTTTATGATTAATTTGCAATTTGTAAGTGTTGAGATTAACAAGGACCAAAAAAAACAATAATAGTGGCAGGAAGTTAAAAAAGTCAAGATTTACATGATTCGGTAATGTCACTAAGTCCCAAGAATAAAACTATTCATTGATTGTGATGGTAATACAACTCTTAGGGATAGTATTTATAGACATCAATTTGTATACAATTGCCGGACTCCTATTTCTTTATCAGATTCATAAGACAATTTCCTATTCAGACAAACTCAATAGTAAGAGTGTTTATCTTGTGCAGGTTTCTAGATTGGGGTATGGATGTATGGGGTTAACTGGGATGTACAATAATCCAGTGACAGAGGAGGAAGGGATAGCAATTATCAAAGAGGCTTTCAATGCAGGATTCACATTTCTTGATACTGCTGATGTTTATGGGGCTAATCATTCCAATGAGTATTTGGTGGGAAAGGTAAAAAATTGTGGTTGAGAAATGATTTCTCCAGATGCTAATGTGATTACATAATATGTGCATTTGTCAGCATTTTGGTAATATATTGGACTGCTTTATCAGTAATATATACTTTTGCCTAATTATTATGTGGAGTTAATACTCGATTTCGTCCCTAGACTATTAAGATTTCACCGTACCACTTTGTTTATCGACTTCCAAACTTGGTCAATTTCATCGCCAATTATGGAATTTTTACCTAAAATAGTCCTTGGTCCAAACCAAAATAGTCTTGAATGAGGACCATTTTGGTTAACAATTGCATAGTTGGGGATGAAATTGAGCAAATTTGGAAGTCGATGACCAAAGTGGTGAAATTCTAATAGTTGAGGGACCAAATCGGGTATTAACTCTTATTATGTGGTATTCAGGTAAACTTTGTCAAAATAATTTTCATTGCATGCAAAAGATGAAAATGTGATGGCTCAATATAACTACAGACTTGATTACTTTGTTATTCTATATTGTGAAAGTGTCACAGTTACCAACCGGAAAGGAAATTTTTGCCTGGAAAGTTATGCTGTTAATGAGCAATAATGAGTGTGGAAAGGTTAGGTTAGCTAGATTGGATATTGGGCAAAATGCTTACTCATTGATTGTTAGACCATTGAATTCAAACTCTGAGAAACAGACTGATCTTTCATATACATTCCTTTACGAGTGAGTTTTGCATAATAAATCCAACCTATTGAATGAGTAATGAACAGTGTAGGCTGGGGAAAGTCCAGAAAGGGGATGGATGGACAGCATTGGCAACTTGCAAAATAAGGAATAAGCTATAAATTTAAAACTCTTAATAATAGCTTAAACCGACCATAAAATCTGGGGAAAATTATCTATCAGAACAGTATTAATTTTCAGTCAATACAAAAAGAGTTCTAAAGATGGCAGTTGGCTGGAAGTTCCAACATCGATCGCGTAGATAATGGTCTTTACAGTAGCAGGTTTTTCCATTTTCAAAAACTAATCTTCCTAGACAATCTTGATTTAGGTTTCTTGCATAACATTTGTTGTTGTCTTGTTACTGAAATAAAATTAGAAAAGGTGAAAATTTCGGTTGTCCCCTATGTGTTTTGTATATTAGAACTACCACAGGATAAATGGAAATGGTTAATGATGAATTTATATATTTAAAGCAGAAAATGTTGTTTCCCTCATTTTTAATATTACATGCTATTATGCTGATTTCTTTCTCTTTGGGGGTGATTTGGTAAATAGTTGTTAGCTGATTGGGTTAGTAAGTTTGACTAGTTAATAGCATTAGCTGATTGTAGAAAAGTGTTTGGTAAAGTAGCTGTTAGCTGATAGCTGATTACATGCAAAATGATTTTCTCAAAAAGCTGATCGAAAAAGCTACTTTGAGCAGCCTTTTGAATTTAAACATTTTGGAGCAATAAATTGTTACAAGAAGCTAATTAATCAAACACTCATATTGATTGTTTAACCAAGTCAAACAGCTAACAGTGATCAAATAAGCCAAAATTGGCTGGTAGGCTAACTATTTTACCAAACAAGGCCTTTGTCAGTTTTTATTGAGGTGTTTGTATTTGTTATGGTATATAACGATTGCAGGCATTAAAGCATTTGCCTAGAGAAAAAGTACAGCTAGCCACAAAGTTTGGGATGTACAGATTTGAACCCACTCAGGTTGTCGTGAGAGGTACTCCTGATTATGTTCGCTCCTGCTGTGAAGCTAGCTTGCACCGCCTTCAGGTTGACTATATTGATCTTTACTACATACATCGTATTGATACAACAATACCTATTGAGGAAACTGTAAGTGCTTTAGTTTTTTCTCGTTTTAGTTTTAGTTTTATTTTGCTCCTTCATACAATCATACCCCTCATAGCTCTTAATTTATAGTATATCAAGTTCTCTTTGAGAAGTCTTTAGTTTCTGTTTGCTAATGAGTTCCTTTTTATTTATTTATTTATTTATTTATTTATTTTGGTGGCTGTTCAGATGGGAGAAATGAAGAAATTAGTTGAAGAAGGAAAAATAAAATATGTTGGCTTATCAGAAGCTCACCCAGACACAATAAGGAGGGCACATGCGGTTCATCCAATAACTGCTGTGCAACTGGAGTATTCCCTGTGGACACGAGACATTGAAGAGGAAATTGTACCGCTTTGCAGGTTTCTTTATATCTTGATATGTTATAAATATCTTTGAAAAGTTCTTGTTCTTCTTATGCAATCCATTCCTGTGGTGAGGTATTGAGCCTTCTGGTATTTAATTATAAAATCCGTTCCTCGCAATAGGCGTCACAACTTTCTTGTTCTCATTCTTAAACAACAAAGCAAGAATGTAAATAGAACAATAATATACAATATCGTTTTTAAGCTTGGGTAGTCCTTTCCCATATTTACAGGGAACTTCGAATTGGGATTGTTCCATACGGCCCTGTTGGTCGTGGGCTTTTCGGTGGAAAGGCAGTTGCTGAGAGCTTGCCTGCTAACAGCTCCTTGGTATGAAGGTCAACTTACATTTTAGTCACTCAGAAGAATTCAATTAATTATATGAAATTTGGCACTACCAGGTGAAACATCCCAGGTTTACAGGCGAAAACTTTGAGAAGAACAAGACCATCTATTTTCGTTTGGAAGAACTCTCTAAGAAACAAGGATGCTCACCTGCTCAACTTGCTCTTGCGTGGATTCTTCAACAGGGGGATGACTTTGTACCCATTCCTGGTAAGTCACCTGCATAAGTTTTTTATGAGCCCCAGCATCTATCTTATCATCCATTATCTCACTCAATCACAAAAACCCTTCTCCCTATTAGTTTATAAGTTTTTTCTTAGTTTTTTGTAGACCCGCTATTTTACTATCCAATATCTTAATTATTTCTTTATTTATTTGAATTATAAATTTTAAATTTTAATAAAATTTAATTAAAATAAACATACTACATTTAATTAAAACGATAATTATAACATTAAAATTAAACAACTAATTGCTTAAAAATTAAAACCAATTACTTAAAAATTAAACTACAAAGCGGTTCAAAATAAATTAAAGTGCATAAAAAACTAAAATTACAAGAATATAAAATTAAACTACAAAACAGTTAGAAAAAAATACTAAATACTGTGAGTAATATTATTGTTATTATTATTTTATGCTTATAATCTATGGTTAGTTTTATATGGTTAGAATAAGTCTTCTGCTTCTATCCTGTTAGATAGAGTAGTTAGAGAGATAGACTCAGATATACTCTCCTGTAATCTTATCGATTGTTATTGAATTGAATTTTGAATTCTCATCTGGTATCAGAGCCTAAACACGACCCTCCACCGCAAAACACCTAACCCCCTCTTTCCCCACCATGTCGTTGAATTCATCGGAGAGAACTCCGTCCACCGGCCGAACTCCGTCCGCCGCCGGTGGTTCGTCTCCGGCGAACGCCAACCCCTTGGCCGGCGCACATCACTTTATTTCTATGAAACTCAACTCCATAAATTTTTTATTTTGGAGAACGCAGCTCATCCCTTTTCTCCGAGGGCAGGATTTGATCGGGTTCGTTGATGGCACCAACCCGTGTCCGCCGGCGAGATCACTGTCGTCTCCGGCGAGTCTGGCTCCGGTGCTACCACCACCACGTCGTCGACCCCGAACCTGGCGTACAAAGCATGGGTCCTCCAGGATCAATCGATCCTTTCCCTATTGATTTCATCAATGTCCGATGAAGTTCTGCATCTCGCGGTTGGCCGGAATACCGCCGCCGACGTCTGGAAGTCCATCTGCACCGCTCTCGGCTCCAATACGCAGGCGAGGTGCCTGAGTTTGCTAGGCCAGTTCCAGGCGCTCCGACAAGGGGCGTCGACGCCGGGCGATTATCTAGGGAAGGCGGTACTACATTAAAATTAAAATTACAAGCATTTTTGAAAAATTACAAGCATTTAAAATTACAAATACTGAAATTTTAATTGAATCACTTATTACATTTAAAACAATATAAATAAAAACCTATGGGGGAGGTACATTTCAACGAAGTTGTTTAATATCATTACAATACTTTGTGTGTAGCAAGTTGCTCCTCCGTCATCTCCGATGTGTCCTTCATCAATATATCATATTCTCTCAATCGAATTTTCCTTTTGTCATGTTCCAATTTCATTTTTTTGATATCTTTCCAATTTTTCTATTTATTTTTGTAACGATCCTTGGATATCTTTATCATCATTGTTGGTGTAGCGTTCTTTGGTTTTTTGTTTCGCTGTCTTTTTTCCCATTGATCGAGGGAAAATTTCTTCGCAACCACCTCCACTACCTTCTACACTTCCGCTTGATATTTGATTGGTGGATGATATACTTAAAGGAGAGTTGATGAGCTACAAAGCTGAGTTGCCAACTTGAAAGTTCTTTGCAAATGACTCATACGTGTTCGTAGCCAAAATTGTCTCGACCATATTTTGCTTATATTCTTCCATAGAACGTACAATAATATTCACATGTTAGCACTACTAAGCCGCATTCCTTGTAACTTATAATAAAGTGCATGAAACTCAAACGTTTTAGAATGAATAAGACCACAATGCGTCTTTAATCTTTGTTGGGTTCTCGTTGGCTCACCGTTAGGGTGATTGGAGTTGTAATATTCTTTGGCGTGCTTCCAAAATGTTATACCCTTTTTGGTCATTACCCACTCTTTGATCTTGTGGTATGAGCACGTGTCAACATTTCGTCATCTTCTATACTCCAAAGTTGTCGACTACTCTTCGAGTTGGCTGATGATGGAATAATTGTTATATCATTTTCGCTTTGTGTGGAAAAATGTGAAAATTGAGTAAATTGTATGTTACTCGAAAATTGGGCACTTTGTATGTTGATTGAAAATTGTGAAGACCCCCAAATTGGGAATTTTGAAATATAGGTTCAAATGATGGAAATTGAACATTACCTGGAAGTTGGACATTTTGTGAAAATTGAGAATTTTGTAAAAATTGAAAATTTTGTGAAAATTGAAAATCTGGGAGAAATTAAGAATTTTGGAGAAATTGACAATTTTGTAAAGATGGTTGGGAAGAAAAAAAATTGGGTTAGAAATTTTGATAACTTGGATTGTCTTTCTCCATTGTGCTATTCAAAAGAAATTGCTTTGAGATGTAGGAATTGAGAGAATAATATGAATGAATTGAGGGTAGGATGAAAAATAAAAAAAATTATAGAGATAAATAGTATTTATAAATTATATATATATACGTTGTCTGACGACAGTTGAAATTTGACTGTTGTTAGCAACAGCCAAATGTCTATCAATTAGGTGTGGTTGCCAACTGACGGTCACTCTCAATTGCCCAACCGGACACGTTTACTAAAGACACCAGTTTTTTTTTTTTTTTTTTTTTTTGAAAAACCTACAAAAGCAAAATTGTTTTTGCATGAGTAAAAACCAACAAAAAAATCACTTTCTACATTAGTTAAAAATCATCTCACAAACTTTTCATTATTTCAAAAACCACAAAAACTTTGTTGTTGGTTTTTACTCTTATCAGGTTAAAAAAAAAAAAAAAAAAAAAAAAAAAAAAAGAAGCTCAGTGAGACGCGCAAGTGCGTCTCACTGGCTTTACACGCGCCCGCTTATGCGATTGCTAACGGCCACTCTCAATAGATAGACATTTGGCCGTTGTTAGCAACAACCAATTTTAAGTTGTTGCTAGGCAACGACTATATATATATTATTTTTATATATAAATATCATTTATCTCTACAATTTTTCACTTTTCATCCTACTCTCAATTCATTCTTATTATTCACTCAATTCCTTCATCTTCAAATAATATATTTTGCATAGCACAATGGAAATAGGCAATCCAAGTCATCAAAATTTTCAACTCAATTTTTCTTCTTCCCAACCATCTTCACAAAATTGTCAATTTCTCCCAAATTTTCAATTTTCACAAAATTTTCAATTTTCACAAAATGCCTAACTTTCGGGTAATGTTCAATTTTCGCATTTGCCCTTATATTTCAAAATTCTCAATTTGCGAAGTCTTCACAATTTCCAATCAACATACAAAGTGCCCAATTTCCGGGTAACATGCAATTTACTCAATATTTGTCTTTTTTCATACAAAGCGAAAATGATGTAACAACTATTCCACCACCGGCCAAATCAGAGAGTCGTAGACAAATTTGGAGTTTAGAATACGACAAAATGTTGACACACGCTCATACCACAGTCTCACAAGATCAAAGAGTTGGCAATAACCAAAAGAGTATAACATTTTGGAAGCACGTCAAAGAATATTACAACGCCAATTACTCCAATGGTGTGCCAATGAGAACCCACCAAAGATAAAAGACGCATTGGGGTTCTATTCGTTGTAAAACCTTTGAGTTTCATGCAACTTATTGTTACAATGAATGCGGCCAAGCGGTGCTATCTATTCAAATATTATTGTGCGTGTTACGAAAGAGTATAAACAAAAATGTGGTCGAAACAAATTTGACTATGAACACGTATGGGTCATTTGCAAAGACCTTTGGAGCTGGAAACCCAGCTTTGTAGCTAGTTAGCTCTCCTTAAGTAAATCATCTACCAATCAAACATCAAGTGAAAGTGTAGAAGGTAGTTGATGTGGTAGCTAGCGAATAAGTTTTTCCCTGACCAATGGGAAAAATGGCTGCGAAGCGAAATGCCAAAGAACACTACACCGACAATTATGATGATATCCAAGAATCGTTACAAAAACAAATAGAAATCTTGGAAAGCTATCAAAAAATGAAATTGGAACACAACGAAAGAAAAATTCGATTGGGAGAATATTATATATTGATGTAGGACACATTGGAGATGACGGAGGAGCAAGCTATACACATAGAGTATTGTAATGATATTAGACAACGTCGGCGAAATGCACCTCCGCCGTAGATTTTTATTTATATGGTTTTACATATAATGGGCGATTCAATTAAAATTTTCATATTTGTAATTTTAATTTTAATGTAGTATGTTGTAATTTTTTTCTAACCGGTTTGTAGTTTAATTTTTTTATGCACTTTAATTTATTTTGAACTGCGTTGTACTTTAATTTTAACCAATTACTCCGTAGTTGTTTAATTTTATAATTATCATTTTAATTAAATGTAGGTAGGTTTATTTTAATTAAATTCCATTATATTTATAATTAAAATATAGGATAGTAATTTGGTGGGTTCACAAAAAATAGAGAAAAAAGTATAACTAAAGGGTTTTTGTGATTGGGTGAGGGAGCGTTATGTTGTGCACCATGCATGGTGCACACGGTTGCAAAAACGATGTCGTTTTGACGTCCGACTTTAAAAAAAAAAAATTCAATTTCGATTGCCGTTAACGGCGTTATGTTGTGCATAATTTGAACTATATAGTTCATTCATTCTGGATATATAGTTCATCCATTCTGGATATATATTTCATTCATTCTGAATATACATTTCATTGATTCTGGATATATAGTTCATTCATTGTGGATATATAGTTCATTCATTCTAAGTATATATAGTTCATTCATTCTAAGTATATATAGTTTATTCATTCTGGATATATAATTCAAATTATGCACAGCATAATGCCGTTAACGGCAATCGAAATTGATTTTTTTTTTTTAAAGTCAGACACGTTTTTTTAATCAAAACGACGCCGTTTTTGCAACCGTGTACACCATGCATGGTGCACACGGTTGCACGACATAATTTGTGTCGGGTGAAATAATGGACGATGACATGGGTGATGGGGCCCATAAAAAACTGAAGAAAAACCATCGCACAATCTTTTTCACTATTCCAAAAATTACCAAAAGTTTTGTTGATGGAGATGCTCTAAGAGTGAGAAGTGAGAACAACCTTCTGTGAAGAGTTTGTTTTTTTTTTTTTTTCTGAAACTCTAGCCTTCCGTGTCCACGCTCAATAAGAGCAGCCATTCTGGTCACCTCTCTAACAATTTATCAGATCCTTTCGCATGCTCTCGTGCTGCAACAGGTTACAGGTACCATTTTGGTTACAACTCCATGCCTCCTTCCATGCTTGCTCAAAGACTATTCAAACTTGACCCTTAACACTCTTCTTTCTCTCACATTTACCCCATCATTTCCTAAATCACAAAATATAACAAAATAACATTAATTAGTACATTATCCATGCATCCGCAATTCAGCCACAAATCTATTCTACAATTGCACTAATTAACTCCTTATCACAAATACAGCATATACATACATACATATATGTATGTATCAACTTTTCTGCAAAACAAAAGATTAGTTTGCAGGAATAACCCTAGCCCCACACTTGTAACCACAAGGTCACGAGTTTGAATCCTTGCCCTCTTGCTTTGAGCCTAACAGCTATGGGTAACCAAGGCTGGTTTCTTTCATTGTGGTCCTTTGCCGACTAGGGTCACTAGGCAGAATTTACCTAAACCCGATAGCTATGGTCGTGGGGCTTCCCTCGTCATCCAAAAAAAAAAAAAAAGATTAGTCTGTGCATGAGAAAACAAAATAAATAAATAAGTGATCTCCTTCTAGCTCATCTATATTTCTCTAGTTGCTTTAGTCAAACACATTCTTGAAACTTGTTCTCTCTTCCCCAAAAATCCAAGATATGTTAGCTCAGGGCATTATTAAACTAGTAGTTTTGTTTTATACTGAAGATGATAAATTGCCCATGAAAACTATGCACTTGCATTATTATCTTCCGTTATCAAGCTACATTTGTGTATGCAGGAACTACTAAGATAAAAAACCTTCACGAGAACATCGGCTCTGTGAAGATAAAGCTCACGAAAGAAGATCTGCAAAACGTTTCTGATGCTGTGCCTATCAGTGAAGTGGCAGGCCCGAGAGTGGGAGAGGCTCTACTCAAGTGCTCATACAAGTATGCTATTACTCCTCCATTGAATTGAAGTAATAAGAAGTTTGAAGTGTCTTCTAGCATTAAAAGGACTAGAAATGCATCAATCTCCTGTTACTTGGAAGTTGGAAAGCCATGATTTTGAGAGCATCAAAGGTTTTCTTGAACTTTCATTTGTCAACTAGCAAATGTTTGTCAATATGCTTGTTTATGTGAAACAAGGGTTAACTCTTCATGACTCCAAAATTTGTGCTATCAAGTGAACATGTTCTAGTTGTTTGTCAAATTAATTATATCATGGATTAGGGTTTGTCAAATTAATTATATCATGGATTAGGGTTCATCTTATATCGTGGACTTGATTTATAAACATTCAATAAATCAAACATGAGTTTAAATTCATTAAAACACTATTGCATGTTCATTCAAATGGTACTTATTGACTAATCCTCACTTAAACATTAAAGTATATATTTTTTCAATAATTAATATATACAAAAGATCATTAAAAATATCTCATTGATTTTTTAAAATAATTTCCATACTTTTTTTTTTTTTTGAAAAAACAAAGCTTTTATTAAATTAATTGCTCAATACACGTAGGAATAGAAGAAAACCAAGTATAAGGACCAGGTTGCGAAAAAGCCGCTCTAGCTAAGGCATGAGCACACTTATTCACTGATCTAGATATATAATTGAAAGACACTACTTCAAAGTGTCTACGAAACTCCTTGCAGGCATTGATCGCGCAACCAGCGTACGAATGATTAGATCCGGACCCATTAAGGAGAGTACAAACCACTTGACAATCGGATAGGATAGCAACCTTGGTGTAGCCTAAATCTTTGACCCAGGATAAAGCCTCTTTCACAGCCAAAGCCTCTGCGAAGTGTACATCGTTTAAGCAACGTAGCGGTCCATTCTTTGCCCCCACGAAAGTCCCCTCACTGTCAAAAACCACACAACCATAGCAAGTTCCGGCATCACCATTTAACACAGAAGCATCAACATAAAAATAAAAATAATTTCCATATTGATATATTCTTTTTTGAATGTTATTGATTTTATTACAAGGTAGGATTTGTTCTATTTATTGATAAATATATCATTTTGATAATTATTTGATGAACCTATAGTCCAATAGTATTGATTTAATGAACGTGTAGACGTGTAATAGTAACCTAATGAATTTACAATAGTGACTGAATGTATCTACATTGTAATAGTGACTCGATGAATTTACCTATATTTGTAACTTAATGGACTTATAGTGGTAAATTGATAGACATGTAGCAATTAGTTGATGAACTTGAAATAATGACTTAGGTTATCTTTATTTCTGTAATACTCTCTAACAAATAAAAGTGATCCCTCTCGTATAGAATAATTAATCTGGCTAGCACTTTGTCCCTTAACTGGGTTGGCCCAGTGTGAACAAGAATTAGTCTGAGTATGCTACGGGTTTAAAGGCAATCGTTATGTTGTGGAACTGTGCCCACTTTGCAAGGTGGGCACGGTTCCAAACGACGCCGTTTTCATGCGGCACCGTTATATTCCATAATTTCTATATAGTATATTCATAAAATCTATACTGTAGATTCATAATTTCTAAACTATAGATTCATAATTTAAATACAGTAGATTCGTAATTTCTATACAATAGATTCATAATTTCTATACTGCAGATTCATAATATCTGTACTGTAGATTCATAATTTTTAAATTGTATGTTTATTAAATTATGAACATATAGTTCTGTGATTTGTGAATACAGAGTTCAACAATTGAAAATATGAACATCGAAAATTATGAACATATAGCTCTATAATTATGAACATATGTTTATAAAATTATGAGCATATAGTTTTATCACATGTTCACAAACCGAATATTGTAGATTCATAATTTCTATACTGTAAATTCATAATTTAAATACAGTATATTCATAATTTCTAAACTGTGCGATTGCGAAGAGAGAAACGCCGTTAGCGGCAAGTGAAAAATAATTTTTTTTTAAAATTAGAACTGAAAACGACGCCGTTGTGGAATTGGGCACGGCTCCACAACATAATTTGCCGCTTAAAGGTGTCTCCTACAATTAGGGTCTGCTCTCATGACACCTCGTGATCTGACAATTTTTTTTTTTTTTAATTCGCACTATTTCTCTACATCTATACAACACCAATCCACTTTCAAAAATGGGTCTTATTTTGACATCACATTAAAAAAAAATATTATATTTTTTTAATAAATACTCCATCTGCCCATTCTATCTGTCCTACTTACTATTCATTGGTTAAACCATCTCTTTCTTCTTTGTTTATTTTCTTTAGTATTTTTAAATTTGATTTTTTTGTGTGTTTATAGTATATATAATGCAATACGTAATATATATATATATATATATATATATATATATATATATATATATATATATATATATAGTATTATATTTAGCTCATTAATTGTTAAACTCTAAAAAGAACTAATTATTAAATAATATTAAATAATTAATACAAAATTATTATAAAGATGTACCTAAAATAAGAGTATAAAATATGTCTATCAACACACACACACACACACACACACACACACACACACACACACACACACACACACACACACACACACACACACACACACACACACACACACATATATATATATATATATAAACATATAATTTTTTTTTTGTTTTGATCACTATATTATTCAAATATATGATAATTCAAAAGTATCAATCACTTTAAGAAATTGCAAAACATAATTTTAACTAATTTTTTAAATTTTGTTACTTACAAATATTTTAATATTGAGCATAAGTTTTCGCGCATCGCGCGTACAAAATGCTAGTGTATATATATATATATATATATATATATATATATATATATATTTGATTCTTTTATATTAATAGTGAGATGTGTCATTTATAATGTATTTTCTATTCGAATTATTTTATCAAATTAATTATGTTTCATTTTTTGTTATGAATATTTTTATAAAGTTTCGATGTGTTTTATTTTTAGCTCATATCCAACAATATTTACAACTATATTTCTTAATGTTTCGCTTTAGTGAAACAAATTTCTAAATCCGTCCCTATTGTTTCGCCCCCACCCCCCCCCCCCCTTCAACCGAATTTCTGTCCTGATACTCTGGTGCGATAACTTGGGTGCAACATACCTATATTCTAATCCGGTATTTCACACGAGGACTAAACACGTTGAGATGGATTATCATTTTGTTTGAGATAAGGTGGCATCTGGGGGGTTGAAAGTGAACTTTGTCTCCACACATGATAAGCTCGCGGACATATTTACCAAGTCGCTCTCCACGTCTCGATTTAGTGATCTACGGTTCAAACTGGGTGTGGTCTCATGTCCCCCGTCAACTTGAGGGGGAGTATTGAGTTGTTAGATAGTTATGGTTAAGTTAGAGTCTATGTGGTTCTCTACCTTTCCTGCTATCTTTCTATTAAGCTTGACGTATATAAATGATGTACCTTTCCATGAATAAACATAGTACAAGTTTTAATCACTTCGTCATATGTAATTTAGTTATTTTAATATGTTAATTGATTGTTGGGCATCGATTGAATTGGCGGAGTTTAGCCCCTGCTCAATTCGAGACGTGGCGTTGTGGCTTACCATCGAGAGATGTAGTTAAATGGTTAATGTCCACCTATTTATCACCAATTGATTTTAAGTAGGATATGACAATCAAATAACCAAAAAACAATGTGGTTAAGTGTGCTTGACTTACCGCCAATGATTGTGTGCAGAGATTTACATACCATTTTAATCTAAACAATATTTTTTATGTATTATTGTAGTTCGTTGGAGATGCAATCTTGTTTTTCACTATATCATGGCATTAGTTTTAGATTTAGTGGAACTTAGGTGGATGAGATAATTATCTTTATTGGTCTTTAGATGAAACTAATAATGAAGAAAAAAACATATAATTATCGGGTCACACTTGTGTGAGACCGTCTCACGGATCTTTATTCGTGAGACGGGTCGTGTCAATATACAAATCTAATATTTATACTAGCAAATGTAATATTAAATATTACATTTCATCTTGACTCGACCTGTCTCACGGACAAATATATGTGAGACGGTCTAACACAAATTTTTTGTCATAATTATCTAGCCTTCATCATTAGTAGCCAATACACTTAAGAAGATTCAGTGCAGCTTCCAATATTTGTTATTAATCGACAACCTCAAAAAAGAAGACTAACAAAAAACGAACATCATTCTAAATTTAAGAAGCAAAATAATTGAAAGTATGTGCTATGCATTTAGATAAATATTGTTTTTGCTTGTTAAATCATGTAACTTAAGTTATATATTATTTGATTATTTTGGTGCCTATTAAATCATTTGCAGATTAGGCTGTATTTTGTGCAACCCATTGATGTTTTTTGTTGTTTTGGTGTTTATTAAACAGGTGCATATTATTTTGTGCAACTTAAGATGTTATATAAACAGGTGCATATTATTTTGTGCAACTTAAGATGTTATTATGTAACAAACGAAAGAATTTGAAAATATTTTACAAAATGACCAATATGTCATTTAATAATTTAAAAATTCAAAATAAATTGTTAACATTAACAAAATCTATAAACAATGGATAGAAACTGCCACTTTTAACATAATTATAGGGGAAATTTTGTATATGAAAATAATTCATGGACCGAGTCTACAATTTAGATATAACTAATGGACTGAAATCGTCATTTTTTCTATAATAAGTAAAGTTGATTTTATTTAAATTTTAATTAGTAGGTAAAATTAGTTAGTTATTTCCTAAAATATAAATATCAAATTTATAATAAATTATTATTATTACTATTATTATTATTATTATTATTATTATTATTATTATAATACAATAATATATATTTTCTTGATATTGCTCAAATTTGATAATCAAATTTACCAATTTAAAAAAGTGCAAAAGATAAATGGAATTTAAAAGTTTATCATAGGACATTAGGATGTCCATCGTATAATTGTTTGGCGGTGTTTGAATGCACAACCATAGAGTTATTGATGGACGATATTTGGTACAGGAATGCTGATACACCCGCCCCGTGGTTGTATCGGTCGTGTTCTTTTTCGAGGAAAAAAACACAAAACTCCACAAGAAAAATGGTTGGGGAAGGAGGAAGTAATGGAAGTGTTTTCAAGAATGAACTACTTTTCTCTGCACTATCATCAGCTTGCTACACTCTCTTTATAGCTAGCGTTTATTACATTCAAGCTACCC